TACTATACTATAAACATCTTAGCTAATAAAACACTGGATTGGCTTTCATACATAAGTTTCTACATTATATTCATATTACTATTTCAGAATTTATATTTTTCATTTGTGTAACATTAGGTGAAAATAGACTCTGAATTTATCACGAGGCATATTAATGCCTCATACTAAACTCATGTTGCTACAGAAATAAATGAATAAGGAATTCATTGCATACTAAACATGTAAGATTTCTGTTTGTAGGCTCAGAAACTATGTCATCAGCTATATTACATTTAAAAACACATATTTTCCTCACATAGATTATAAGACAGTGTTACAGTAACATGTGATGCATTATCTTTCATTTCACTTACCTTTATAGAAAGATCATCAAATATATATATTAATCATCAGTTACAAACAAATGTTCTGTAATTTTCTTATATAAAATTCACATTTCATTATAGCCCAATATGTTTAAGTATATATTAATATATGTAAGTAAAATCACGGACTTAACAAGTATCACACATACTGAAACGTTTATTAACAAAACTTAAAGATACACTGATAGATTATTTGCGTAAACATCTTAGTTTATAAAATACTGGATTAGCTTTCATACACATTTTGTTCATTGTGTTCATATTACAACTTGTTCATTTCAGTTCAATGTGTAAGATTTTAATATAATTTATAAACGAAAATATTAGTGTCTAATTTTGTATTTCGATTATTTCATCATACTTTACAAGAAAAGCATTTTACGCTCACTGCTCAGTAAGATTCAACTGTGGCCAACATATAGTAATTGGTCAAAAGTTCAGGCAGGGTCAGTCGGAAAATATATCATATACTCATCTTATATTGATAATTCACTAGCAACTTAATTTTACTCTGTTCAGACTAAAGATCAAATTTCAGGTAATTACATATCTAGCTTAGCCTTTTGTGATAAATTACACCACATGAATAACAGTTCCTAACAAGTATGTTTGAACAACTAATACAAGTCTCCATTTATATCTCTTATATGAAATTCATGTCTCATCATAGCCCAATATGCTATCATTAATATATGTAAGTAAAATCACAGACTTAACAAGTATTGCACATACTGAAACATTTATTAACAAAACTTTAAGAATTAGATACACTAACATACAACTTACGAAAACTACAAATATCTTAGTTTGTAAAACACTAACTTATATACAAATGTAATAATATCTGCAGTATATAACTGTTGTAGCGTGTGATTAGTCAAATAGAGTAAATCACCATAAACTAAACAGAAGAGACATTCCACAAAGTGATTAGAGCTAATACAATGACAGAAAGTTTCTTCATTGAGAAATTATACAAAACATAACATGCACTTGAAACCCATAACTAATTTGACTGTCTCCTTGTGCTGGACATTAATTTTTTTAGCCTAACATTACCCCTCCCTATTGCATAAAACTATCGTGTTTCACCATAGCCTAATATGCTGTCATCAATATATGTAAGTAAAATGACAGTCTTGTCAAGTTGTTTTCTGTTTTTAAGTTACTACTTTCTGTTTTCGATCTAGAACTCACATATTTGTAATTTAAAACTACTATTGTTTACAAACATAACTTAGCAAGATCTATACATACTCTAACTTTTTCAGGGTGTAATTGTTTAGACACATAAAGAAATAACAGTATCTTTCATCTTAAAATTTAGGTTGTGTTCTTCAAATTTATCTGAGAGGCAAATTCCGTTGACAGCTCGATATCTTTTGATATTTAGAATAACACAGACTGAAACATGTATGAATTATAAAATAATGGACTGCCAAGATTAAATTAACTTTCATACAAGTCTAGTACAATTCAGTTAGAGTTCAATTTTTTATACTTTCCACTCAGTTAAACTCTTCTATTGACCTTTGATCATTAGTCATGTGCCAGTCAATGACCTCAACCTGAGAATGAACCTGTTCCATTGTCATGAATATATGAACATAACGAAAACAATAAGTGATATATTACTTCTGATATGTCCCGGCATGGCCAGGTGGTTAGGGCGCTCGACTCCCAATCTGCGGGCCGCGGGTTCAAATCCCCGTGATGTGTTGATGTTTTCGATGAGTTAACACTATCGAGCTTTTGTATGACATATAGAATGGAGAATGTCTTAAATACTGTGATGTTACATAACTCTTTCATTGGAAGTACTGTGAATACCATAGTGGATGTTTTCCACATGGTGATATACTTGTAAGTCCTGTGATCTCACAACAAAAGATATGGTCTACAAGAAAAGACATAACTATCTTTTTACATGAATTCACTTTGTAAAGACCGTTCATATAAATTTACATAAAAAAACATGTCAGACATTTACCAACGTGATTAGATTTATATCCAAAGACCATGCTTATCATAAATAAGTTAGTATTATTTCTACCGTAATAGAGTTTTAGTTTTTACATCTTAAACATCAAAGAAATTGCTATAAGATTTACGAAAATTAATAAAGTTTAATTGTAGTGACAGAAATAACATAAAGTCATAACACGTTATCACACGGTTTTCATTTAAGTTAAAACCATTAAAAAACCTATGTTTTTAAATTGAGGAGCCAATGGTGTTTAGTAAGGATGAGAGAGTGTTATCCACTTTTGATGTAGTTTTGCAGTCATCGATAAAATCATTCTTTGAATGATAAATAGGCGTGGAACTTCTTGCTACTGCAATGCCTATGTCTGTTAGCAAAAAAAAATCAGGGACCTGTGATCGACGGCAGCCGAGACCAAGGGTCTGTAAAATGTTGACAAGTAATCTGATATTAGGTGATGTAGTTTCTCTTGTATATTATACAGAGTTGCAAAAAACTTATGCTTGCTCTCCACTACATGTATGACGATTTTCTTGAATTACTAGAACATACAAATGCATAAAAATAAAACTGATAATATATCATTACAACCCTTTTTACTGACCCTTTACTATAAGTTTCCAATGAAAATAAATGTAACAGAATCTGAACTGTATGCACTTTGCGGTGTTTGCTGCTGCTGCCAACGAGACCTTTCACCCAATACCAGAGCTCTTTGGGTTAGCTGGGAATGCAAACCTAAAGTTAAATCCTTTAATAAAGAAAGTCGTTGATGACTGATATAGTATTTTGACTAAGACATTGTTACATTACCAACCAACCCAACGAGTATTTTATAAGCTAAGATATTGTATAGTAGTTGTCTTGAAGTTTTGTTATTAATAAATGTTTCAGTATGCTTGTCATGTCTGTGGTTTTACATTGTAGTTGTAATGATAAAAGTAAATGTGTTGAATTTATAAAATGTGAAAGAATAATCACTTCATATATAATTAAGGGTCCTTTTAAGATTATGAAATTCAACTCTTTTTATAAACTATGTTTATTTATGAAAAATGTATTTGATACTTTGGTAAACTAATAAGTTGAAATGTTATACGAAGTTTTGAATGATACAGAAATGGAATTTCTGGTTTGTCTGTTAGCGTTATAGAAACGAAAGGATTACTTGTTTTAGCATTAGATGAACACAAGGGTCAAGCTTTCTCAACTTGCCATCTGCTTGGATGTGTCAGTAATAGGTTGAAAGAGTGATCTATTTGCAGTTTTTCGAAATGGTAAGAATATTGCTTATCAAGCCTATATACATAAAGTTTCAGTCAAGAAGAAACAGGCTCAAGACAAAGATTTGTGAAAATAACTGCAGAAAAGTAAGAATAGTAATGGTTAAACATAACTATTTACGTAGATCCTTTAAACTTTAGCCAAACAAATCAACTTATAAAGCTAAGCATAAAAAATTATTGTATATTGTTTAGAGATTTAAGTAAGCGCCCTTTTCAGGGTGAATATATGTTATACAATATGTTAATTATAAAAATGAATTAGCGATAAGTTTTACATATAAAACATTATGAAATGCAAAAAAGTATGTCAAGCAAACTAAATATAGAAGCAAAACTATAATCAGTATGTTAAATGTGTACTAAGTCGATGCTTACAAAACACACTTGGCTAACTAACTGTCTCATTCAATATTTATCAAAATGAAACATTATATGTGGTAAAACTTTTCAGGATGTATATCAATTAAAGAAGAAAAACTAAAGAACTAACGAATTAGTAAAGTGTTTTATATATAAAGTAACTGATAAATATGAAAGGTGTTATGCTATAATAGTTGCCTCATTCAAATAATAGATAAATTAGGATAGCATGTGTGATAAAACTAACATATGTAACAGAGCTATAACGTTGTCTAATTAAAATAGTGGCTTTACTTGCAACTTTTTAGGACATATAATTAAATATAAACTACAATGTTGATGACGTATGTAAAACTATAAATGATGCTTAAAAATAGAATTGTCTCACGATTTAACTTATAAAAGCAAAACAGTAAGTGTGATAAATATTAAATATAGATTTGATAAAGTAAACATAAATTGAGACCTGTATGCTGTCCTTGGTCCGCCTATAGAACCTTAGTAAGACCATCCATCTCGTAACACCATCCACCTATGGAACACCTTCCACCTATAGAACTTTGGTAACAGCATCCACTTACACTTACAGGCCCTCTGGTATCAAACTATTGTCACCTTTCCCTAAGACAGCTGTGCCAATGATCAGTTCATCCTCCTATTGAATTATTTTTTTATAGTAACACCATAAGCCCTAGCACAATCTGCCTAGTAACACCATCCACCCCCTAGCAACACACCTTTTGGTGAGTAACACACGAACTATGATGTCACTTAACATACCCTAGCAACGCGTCCTCTGGTACCACTTCGTGGCAGGATGACGTCATCGTCTTGCCACCGCCCCTTTCACTTGAAGCAGAAAATTAGCGTGTATATTCGGGGTATCCAAATAACTACTGCTGATGAAGTAGTTACTTATAGATATAAAGAAAAGTGTTGAAATTGTTATTGCTATATACAAACAGAACTGGTGAATGATTTATGGTCAGTATACAAACAAAGCTGATGAAGTACTTATTAATATGTACAGAGAAAATTGGTTAGATGGTTACTGGTAGGAGTGAAGAAAACTAGTGAAGTGGTTACTGGGGGGTACATATGAAAATGGTGAGATGGTTGCTGATATATATATATATATATATAACAAAAAGCTGATGAAGTGGTCATTGGTAAGTTCAAAGAAAGCTGGTAAAGTGGTTACTGGTAGATACAAAGAGTACAAACATTTTTGTAACACATCTGATTTTTTGCGTACAGTAGACTTATACATTTTATGTAAATACACATAGTAAATTCGGGATTATATTCAACATTCATTCTTCAATACGGGGTTGGTCCATTTTTCCCCCCCTTGATTTTATCACTGAAAAAGAGAGAAAACCCTTAATGAATAAAAACGTACTTGTTCTTGCGACCATCTAGCAGTAAAAATCACACCAATAACGGTCTCACCAGCTTCACAAAAACTTATCAATGACTACTTCAATATACCTACCACTAACCACTTCACCATCTTTCTTTACTCCTACCAGTAACCATCTAATCATTTATATTGACCAATAACGATCTAACCAGTTTACTTTATACCTGTCAGTAACCAATTCACCAGCTTTATTTACTCCTACCAATAACCATCTAATCACTTTTATTTATACTTACCAATAACGACCTAATCAGCTTTCTTTGTACCTGCCAGTAACCATCTAATAATTTTTATTTATACTTACCAATAATGATCTAACCAGCTTTCAAGAATGAAAATACTACTGTCCATCGTGCAGTTGCATAACCTCTAAAATGCATATCTTCAGTTTCCCAGTATCTCTGTATATTATATTTGGTACTTACTCTACTTTACCATGAAATATCGCTAAATCAACATAGTATAAGGTAAAATTAATAGCTGGTAATTCTGATATCAAATATATAAGACAATGTTTAATAGTCGTGACATGCGCTCTTTGACCGCCATCCGTACACATAGGTTTAAGTGTTTCATTTAATTGAAGCTATCCTTTTCGTTTTCTCAGCCATTATTACTTAGAAAACAATCGATACAATAATTCACTTGAAAACCATTGCTTATTTGACTGTGCATACCACGTGTTTTTGTATACAGCCATTGCCTTTGTGTTATGGATCTTACAGTTGGCGTCTGTTTATGGATTTTCTTAAGTTTCATTTTATTACAAATAATATAAGAATCATGCACACATGTGTAAGGATATATTTTTACTTTTAAGGTAATCTTTCATTTTAACTTGTAATTATAACAAGATCTTACTATCTACTGCAAGATCCGAGATCCTACCATGATACCATGATGTCCACGTATTTACAAGCCTGTTTTTCATACAGTTTTTAGTAGTATCATACTTGAGTGATTCTAAATATTCAAATAGTAATATTTTTCATTAAAATCCTCAGTAGTTGCTCAGTTCCAAAGTTACTGTTTATTTACTGAATTTCGATCTCTAATGCAATTAATAGTAGTTTTTGAGGAATGGAAAGATTTACAAACATTTTGATCATGTGTTATAAAGGATTTTAATTAATAAGCTTTTTGTTCCTAAAAGTTCCATAAAAAGAAAAACATATAACTTCATATGATTGTAACTGACCACTTACCAAGTTGATACTATTTTGTTCATTATCGGATGGTTCAGCAGTAAGTTTGAGAATTTATAACGCTGAAATTTGGGGTTTGATTCATGAAGGCATCCCTTTGTGCAGCTTTCTGTTTAACACCAAACAATGCCCCCTAGTGGCACAGCAGTATGTCTGCGCACTTACAACGCTAGAATCCGGGTTTCGATACCCGTGGTGGCCAGAGCACAGATAGCCCATTGTGTAGCTTTGTGCTTAACTTCAAACAAACAGATTTACATGTGAGATATTTATATTTCTTATTATATAAATGGTGTTTATAAGTGAAATTCAATTCTAAAGTTAAGTTTACGGTTTTTTACTAGTTTCAGATTTTTAGTTTTATAGTTTTTTTAAGAGAATGTTTAAAATTCTAAAAATAATTCTGGAAAAAAAGCTTGAGTCATCGGTTCCATCAGAGGTCATTGAAGTTTACTTGTACTTAGTGAGATTCATATATATATATATATATATAGACAAAATATTTCCATTGTATTCAATCTTTTCGACAATCAATTAAACAATCGACTCGAAAACGAATGCAAATTAGACTTACGTACAGTAATACACACACACAAACATACATATACACATATATTGGTGAGAGTTTTTGTGTGTAATTTCTTAGCATGGTGCTGAAGGAATTGTTACTGTTTATCGTAGAGCAAATATTAGATAATATTATTCAAAATATAATTTACTGAATTTCAAGATATATTTAGTCTGTTATGGTAGAAGCCTCTATATAGATCGATAACACCCACAACCCTGGCTGTCGGATGTTACATTTCTAAATAACTATTCCTGATTGTTTCTTATAGACAGATGTTGGATTACATCGATAAAACTACTTCGAAATTAAACTTATAACCAGAGAAAATGTTCGGATGGTGAGGAGGAGGCTAGTGTCTTTGTACTCCAAGAAAAGTGTTTAAAAGTAAAAAAATGGAAAAAATTAAAAGTAGGGCCGCGATTATGTGCATGTATATATATATTTTACTCTGACAATACTGTTGAGTATATTGTTTATACTACTGAAGTCTACTGTTCAAAAATAAAGTTCAACTGTGTATTTCTCTCCTTATGCAAGAATCATACTTAACCTTAATTTCGAATACCGTGTATAGTCTGTTATAATCCCTTTCTTCAAACATATATTGTTCAGTTGGCATCAGATATACTTTAGTTTATAATACATATGATAAATTGCAAAATATTTTATTTTTTAAGTAGATACAGTAGATATATTTACAATGTCAAGAATAACGTAGAGAGGTCAGTTGGCCAGACACAAAAGTTAGTTATCGGTCATGTATAGTCTAAGAAAGAACATTAACGAATTCTAAGGCTCTAAAACGTGCTTCCAGGCTTCAATAAATATTTAAGAAGCAACTTGAGTAATGTAGAAAAAAAACTATTTACTGAGGGTAGCCATAGATCGGGACCTTGATATATCTGTATTGTTGGACATGCTTCGGGGGACGAGGAGGAGGAGGGGGATACTTCGGTGGTGAAGGTTTAGCTTCTGGAATTACTGGTGGCTCTTGGACTGTCATTTGTACACTAGCGGGGTTGGCATTGGCTGTACCAGGCTCGTTGGTCTCAATCTGAGGTTGGAAACCGTCAACGTCAGCCACGTAGTTCACTCGGCGGAAGATGCCGTTTTCGTCGATGTAGCTGAAACTTCCGGTGACTGCACCACTTCCGTCTCCGGATTCCTGTCGGGTAATGGTATTACCGGCTTCGTCTTTGATTTCGAAGCTGTACTCAAACGGCTGGGGTGTCTCCTGTAGTAAAAATACACCTGTTCAAATCTTTAAATCTCTTATTTACTTGATTCTTGTATACACTGTATATCCTGTGTTGAGCAATAACATGAGAGAAATCAAATGTCATTAAAAAAAGTTATCAGTTTTCGGCCTTCTTACGACTATGTAATTTTAGCATATATTAACAATATCCATACCTTGGGAGCAGGTGGAGGAGGAGGAGGAGGAGGGGGGTATTCATAAGATGGTGCGTTGATACCCTGGGGGTATGGAATTCCATATGGCACAGCAGTGACTGCCCCAGTCACAACAAAAAGAAGTAAAATCTGCAAAAATCAATTAAGTAATTAGCATTTTATTTCGCTTTTCTGCCAATACCAAGAAATTCTTTTTAACTTTGATAAATTTTATTACATCCGCTTCCCTTCTTAAGAATGCCGCTAGACAATATTTAACACTACAGGTGCATGAACACATGCCCGATAATGGACAACTAACAGTGTTAATAATTTAGCTCATGTTGAGTACTTCTTCATAAGTCTGTGTTTTTACTCATTGCTCGCCCACAAGGATATTACCGTTTCGTTAGGCATCAGAATTTTTTTAATGGAAAATAGTTATTTAATTTATTCCGAATCGCAGCTGCTAAAACAACAGTAATTACTACGCCAGATACGTGGTTGGCAAATGTAGATAAAAACTGTCACACTAATCTTACTTTCAAATTGGTAAAATAGACTACTTATGCAATCCCTAAAACTCGAATCGCAGCTGCTAAAACAACAGTAATTACTACGCCAGATACGTGGTTGGGTAATGTAGATAAAAAACTGTCACACTAATCTTACTTTCTTTTATCAAATTGGTAGAATAGACTACTTATGCAATCCCTAAAACTCGAGATTGAAATACAACCATTTAATTATTAGATTATATTATCCTCGCTGCTTCTGGTAATACCAGTGTTTGTTGCACATCAGCTAGAAACATCCCACCACTAAAGTTTTATAATAAAACGTAGACAAATATCAGAACCTACATCTGCAAAATACGTTACACCTCAAAAACTGATATTGGAAATACCTTTATCATGGTGTTTGACTAAGGCTTCTGGGAAGGTGTTCTCCAAACCGTTTGCCTGTTCTTCTCTGTCGAAGATGAGCAAGATCCATATCTTTTATAATAAAGTTTGCCCCACATTTTCTGCAGAAAAACTGGAGCGCCTCATCTGAGATAGAAAAGATGGAGGTCACGTGATCAAGCAGATCCTCAGCTAAAACAAAAATTATGCTCCATCACCCTCACCCTCCAGCTAGGACTGCTAAAAATCTAGACCGAAAGGTAGTTATACTGTCTGGTAATTTTGGTGAAGTCATGGTCTGTCGCTGATACAAGTTTTTGACATTTTTACACAGAAGCCAGGTTGAATATCTGTTCAAGAACGTATTAACAACTAAGTCAGAAGGTTTTTAATTTCGGAATTTCCTTACTCCTTTTTTTTATCTTTAGACTATTTTAACTTTTTAAATCACCGTCTAAAACTATCTCTCCAAAATCATCTCACGGCAGGTTTAAACAAGCCTACATTTCAACTGAAAATAATTAATTTGCCCTTTTAATCGCTAGTATAAAACGACAATGAAAACATTGAGGCTCGATTTGGTCCGTTATAAAGCGTCCGAAATATTATGAAAACAGAAAGAAATAAAGAAAGAAAATTGCCAACAATAACCTACCACTTGACAAATTTGGTTTGAACCTTATTAACGTTGTCAATTGTGCTCTGACGCAGAGCTGCGATCATAGCTAACACAGAATATAGTATACAACTAAGCCTTTATGAAAGATTTAATGAATACTTTCACTGTCTGTTGCTATTTACTAATGCCACTAACAACATTAATCTTTATAACTTGTAAATTCCTTAAGTAACAGGACAGGGAATGTTTCAGTACTAAAACAGCAACATATCATGCTTCTAAATTAGAAAAGCTATTTAATTGTCATCTCTTTGCTTTAGTAACACGTGGTTTTTACAAAAGGTTTATCGTGAATCCGACGATAGTTTTAAATTAGCTCCATATGTTTTAATTTATCACTGTGCCGGCAAGTTTTATTAACATTTCTTAAAGTAAAAGTGACCTGATTTTACCTATTTTAATTTTGAGTTCAGCCGCTTCTTTTTTCCATAAATGTTGCATGGGTAGATTCTCAATCCACCGGTTGAGTTAACAGGAAAAAAACAAAAACAAAAAACTTTAAAATACCCATAAATGGCCATAAACCTATTTTTCTAGACTACAACTGAACTCAAATTTCGAAACAAACGCACATTATCTGATAAACCATTGCGGAAAGATTAACAAGTTTCATGCTTAAAGAACAAAGTACAGGACCTGTCAAGTAAAGGTTAAAGTTTATAGGTTAAGATTTATGAATACTTTTTCATTTTTGATGAAAACATCAAGGTGAAGTGGCGTGTTAAAAGTGAATTGATTTCATTCTTTGACCTCGTCAAAAAACTATTTTTTTTTGTCAACCATCTTTTATTCAAAAAATGGAATACGTTATATTAAATCTATTTTGTAGTCTCGCCATGTAGTTATAGTCCATATCGCCACGTTCTTGTCGTATTCTATCTGACGACCGCACATCTTGAGAATATCCCTATAAAAAAAAGCTCCATCGTAAGAATTTCACGGTAAAAAAACACCACTCCTCCATCCATACTTTATATAATCCATCTAGTGAATGAGAACGACTGTCTTTCAGCGCCCGTTTCAACAGTCTGATCGCATAGAATTCCATGGGTGCTTGACCAGTATTTCTGTGTGGAATAGCATGAATACCCATATCATTTTCCAGCTGCTTGAAGTATGCGACGATTGAACAGATATATCTTGGAAGCAACTTGTGTCGCTTTACCAGATGGAGATCGTCCTTCGTTGTGTTGTGTAATATTGCCTGGGGCGCGTGGACGACTTTTACCACTGACTTCTCTGTTCATGGATTCTCACCTGTTAAACGATGCCACACTCTGCTTACCATAGTTGAGGTGCAACATATTACAGGTCTCTTTCTTGATGGTACTAATGCCCCAAGTCGATCCATCTTCCTTTATTTTCCAATGTCATTAAGTAAAAGGGATATTTCCGTCTTGGAAATTCTAAACCTTCGACCTGAACACATCTTCATGATCTAAGTGTTTGAATATTTTCCATCGAAAAGGGCTGTTACCTATCCTTCCCATTACATTACCTAAGAACGCCAAACAATATGAAAATGTAGTTGTTATACATAACGTTCCACCGCGACCTTTTATCCACTGTGGTTGCTATGTGACATGCTTGTTTGCATATTTGTTTTATAATAATGTGTTCGATTCTCTGTAAAAGGTAACTTTCGTAAAACAACAACGATTAAGAAATATATCAAGTACAGTTAATAAAAAATATTATCTACACAAGGGATTATTTTAGAAACTTATTTTGGAGCACGGATTGGCCCTGTGATAAAGCTTTGCTTTCAGTTGTAGTGGCGTTATAATGTCACGGCCAATCCCACTATTCGTTGGTAAAAGAGTAGCCCAAGAGTTGGCGGTGGGTGGTGATGAATAGCTATCTTCCCTCTAGTCTTTCACTGCTAAATTAGGGACGGATAGCGCAGATAGCCCTCGTGTAGCTTTGCGCGAAATTCAAAACAAACCAAACCAAGCTTTGCTTTCCTTCTGTTCACCAGGGAAAACCTTAGTACCTTTGTCATAAATACACAAACCTATTTTCTGGTACTTAAGGTACTTAGCTATTAAATAGTAGCATTTTACAAGAAATATTGAAAAATCGTATTTCAGGAAATAAGAAACACTTAAATTTAAAAGGTTCATACGTGTTAATTTTCACCTTCAATTTTGCAAAGAATTTGATATGAAACGGAAGTAAAAGTATCTCTCCAGTATGTTACTAAAAGCTTTACATTATTTCTACACTAGCGAGACAAGAGAAAAAAAGAGAAAAATAAACAGTAAAAACAAATTGCTTCTACATTTCCTGAACCAATCTGATGGATTAAACATGGTCTGGTGGTTGGGGTGCTCGATTCGCAATCTACGGGTCGCGAATTCGAATTCCGTCTTCGAACATGCTCGCCCTTTCAGTCGCGAGGGTGTTATAATGCGACGGTAAGTCCCACTATGAGTTAATTAAGAGTAGTCCAAGTGTTGGCGGTGGGTTGTGTTGACTAGCTACATTTTCTCTAATTCATTATTCAATTAGCTCTTCAGCACAGTGTTGAATCTAGACCTTTCCATCAAGGGGGGGGGGGAGAAGCCGGGGGGATTGAGTTCAAACTCAATAAAATGGACTGTATTTCAGGGGGGTTGCACAGTGGGGATTCTCCCTATACACATTTCCTGAATTCAACACTGCTCGTGTAGCATTGCGGAGAAATTCAAGAACTAATCAACCAAATAAACATTATGAATGAACAAATGATTAGAAAAATATGAATCTAAAGAACAGATTAAATGGAGAGTCGTTGTTGTTTGTTATTAAGCGCGGTTTCTAGCAATATCAAGTCCCCAGACACACCAGTGTGCTACTGGGGGGGGGGGCAAAATGGAGAGAAAAACGCTTACAAAAATGCCAATGTTTCAAACGCAATTTTAATTGTTTCTGACAAGTAGTAACCGTTACAGTTTTTGTGTGGTTTATCTCATTTAACGTTTATTTGTTTTGAATTTCGCGCAAAGCTACACGAGGGCTATCTGCGCTAGCCGTCCCTAATTTAGCAGTGTAAGACCAGAGGGAAGGCAGCTAGTCATCACCACCCAGCGTCAACATCTTGGGCCACTCTTTTACCAACAAATAGTGGGATTGACCGTCACATTATAACGTCCCCACGGCTGAAAGGGCGAGCATGTTTGGTGTGACGGGGATTCGAACCAGCGACCCTCAGATTGCGAGTCGAGCGCCCTAACCACTTGGTCATGCCGGGCCTCTCATTTAACGTTGTTTTATATCCTCGATATAACAACCAAAATGGGAATTGATTGTAATTAATTTTGTACATCTATTGTTCTAATAATATGTTCTATTAACGTTTTTGCAAACAGTTTTATAGCTTTTAAATTTTTCTTCAATAATTGTATCTTTATATTCTGTCTTCTATTCAACAAATTTAAAAATTTATAGATAGTCTATAAAATCGTGTCTTTTCTTTATTAACAAGAGGGAATCTTCAATAATCGCGGCTGCAATTAGATCTCAAATCGGTCAAGAGATGAAGCTATGAACTAAAAGTTTGTACTTGAAAAAAACTCGGAGCCATTCTATGAGCCGCTATGCCGCGGCTAAAAACTGTTTGCTCGTTAAGCGAAAGGCTACACAGTGAGCTATCTGTGCTCTGTACACTACGGATATGGAAACTAGATTTTTAGTGTTAATTACTTTTACTAACTGAGCATTCTAAAACTGTCGAAAGCAAGGTAACTGAGTCAAAAGCTTATGCAATAAAAGAAAATTAAAACAACGTGTAAATTGTTAATTAGTTCCAGTATAATTAACATTAATTTAACTTGTGTACTTCCTTACTATGAATATGTGACAAAACATATTATAAAATTCTAGAAACAAACTATTCAAAAACATAATACAGAATAGAAGTTAATTTCATCCCAACAAATAAAAACATTATAATGCTTTTATGAGAGCCAATACAACAATGACTCAATGTATCAATACATTTGCAAAGAATGCAATAAATTCGAAATTAGGAAACTAGTCAAGCACAAAAAACACGCACACAAAAAATTCCATCACAAAAATTTCAACAATGCTTTTCGAATTCGCTGAAAAATATTTCCTAATTCTATATATGGAAAACGATGTCAATAAAAGACAAACTAAAGAAGCATTGTTAAGTAAAAAACGTAAATCAAACATCAATAAAAACACGGAAATTAGCTTATACTTAATTCAAATTAAATTGAATTATGGATATTATTGATGTTTATTATGTATTCAATATCCCGGATTTTCTTTGTGTATTTTGTATATGATGACAATCGGACGATCTGCAGAAACGTACTGTGGTAAGCTGTATTATTTTATGTTATAATTTAGATGTTTGTTGCTAGAGAGAACG